ACTGTGAATATTGTAAAATTGTGGTATCTACCCACATGATGATCAAGCACTCCCACAAGAGACTGTAAAAATGACACCTTAATATATATTATATATAGATATATAGATATATATAGGAGAAAAAAAAGATTATTAACAAACATCAAGGGCAAGATTTCATCAGAATGCTGCTGTGATTTCCAGAACATATGTGAAACTAATTTGAATCGGGTTTGGCAAGCAAAAAGCAAGAGGAATGAAAGTATTTCACAAAAACTACCATTGCTCCTGCGGGTTTCGAGGGCTACAGTAAATACTACTCCAGTTTAGTCTTGCTCCGCTGACCGTGTCATAACACTAACAAACAACAAATTACATTTGTATGTAGCTAAAAATTAAGTCAATAAGTCTAGGCAGCTACAAGCCTGGGTTGCGTAGGTGGAACTCCAGTGCTGTCAAGCGCTGAGGTTTGGTTCTGAGATGAACAATCTGGTAGGAATTCTCACACATTCTCTCTCATCCCTTTGTAACTGGGTGGGGGGGGAGGTCAAATGTTATTCATAGGATTTAAGAACAGTCAGAAGAGGAGGAAGGTATTTGACTGGCTATTTGCTTTCAGTGCCGAGCTAGCTCCCAGTATGGACTGAGCAAAGCCAATGAAATAGCTTTTTTATAATAATAATCCTTGCATTTGAAATTGCATCTTACCACTTTGGGAGGATGTCTCAAAGCACTTGACATGGCATACTGTAAAGAGTAGTAACTGTGTATTTTGTAGGCGAATGCAGCAACCAATTTGCGCATAGCAAAGTCTCACAAACAGCCATGAAATGAACCATGATTTTTTTGCTGGGGGATTGTTTGCCGGGATACCAGGATAAATTCCCTTTTCTTTTTGAATATAGTAATGGGAACTTACAAGGTCCACTTGAACAGGTAGACATGACCTGGCTTAATGTCTCATCCAAAGGACGGCATCCCTGATAATGCAACAGCGCCACGGTGGTCAGCCTAGACTATCAGTTCACACTTTTCATGTGGGGCTTTAACCCACAATCTTTTCACTCAGAAGCAAGAGTGTACCAACTGGGTCACCTCAGGATGATGGAGTCCAAGTGAGTTAGCTCGGCCTTGTTTCATCTGCATAGTCAGCTTGGTCCTATCACCATGACTTCAAGGTGTTATATACACAAATTGCCATTGGAGTTGGTGGTGGGGGGTGGATTTACGATACTAAATAATGGTGGAGAACTCTTGGAAAAAGCCAAGAGCAAAGTCACTTAGTTTTCATGCCATCCACTACTGTTGGTTCGATAAAATAGTCCCCACACATTTTAAAGAAAGTTCCCATGAGCGTTTTCATGCCATTACAATATTCATTGTGAAATGCTTTGAGACAACCTCCCAAAATGAAAGGCGCTAGGTAAATGTAAAACTGGTTATTGTTGTTCTTATAATGTCCACTCACACATGGAAATGCCATTGAAAATAAAACAAAGACTGCCTTACTGTGAAGTACAGCCATATTTATGCTTTATATTTCTAGTTATCTTTGGGCATTCTCTCTGAAACATTTCACAAGCTTATAAATCAAGTGCAACAGAAAATGTGATTACGATTAACATTGTGCCACAGCAATGAGGATAATAGTCTCCATAAATCACGGCCCCAACCAATAACAGATTATGTGCATTGCGTGGTGCAATGCATATATAATACTGTAGTTGGTTAGCTTTGAGCGAGTTATTAACAGAATGAAGATTCCTCTTCCTTTTGCTCACTCACCTTTTATGTTTAAAAGTTGATCCTTCTGGAGAGACTGGCAGAAGTGTGAACCACCCACAAAATACTCGGTCAAACCCGTTCATAGTATATCCTGTGAAGCGCTTTGAGACATCTTGATGACATGACAAGGCACTAGATTAAAATCCAAGATTATTATTATAATAATAATAGTTTCTCTCCAGGTCCTGGCCAATAAGTCCCCAATAAAATTAGTCAAGACTGTTTCTGGGGCATTGCTGTGCTCAAATTGCTGCTTGTTTGCTTAGATTACAATCAGGACACAATAAATTATCATTAAATCATAGAATTACACAGCACACAAGGAGGCCATTTGGCCCATCGTGTCTGTGCCGGCTCTTTGAAAAGAGCTTCCAATTCAATCCCACTCCCCCGCTCTCTCCCCATTAGCCCTGCAAACCTGTCCTCCCCAAATTATTATCTACTTCTCTCTTAAAAGTTGTTATTGAATTGGATTCCACCAGCCTGTTGGACACCCTTAATGTAATGCACTTTGAGACAGCCTGCTGTGCATTAGATTAAATTACAGTGGAATCCGCTTTAGCCAAGCGCCGCATAACCCCGGACTCGGGTAATTTGAACAAAACGCCCGGCCCCGATTCATTTATATTTTTAGCTGTTTTGAAAATGCCGGTTGATTCGGACAAAAATACGGTCATTCCGGGCAAAATGCCACACTGGTCATCGCTGATTGCACTCACTGGGGCCTCTGTATGTCCACTCAACCACGAAGGGCTATGGGATGTCGTCTAAGATTGATTGACATGGGACTCCAGCCATTCACAAGTTGCTGCAGACTGTCAATCAGTGAGGGGGGGTGGGGGGGGGAGCAACGGGGAAGAACAGCGGAGGGAAATCATGATTGATTGGCAGCTGAGCCTCTTATGATTGGGTGGATGGAGTGCTCAACAACAACTCACACTTATATAGCACCCTCCATGCAGGGTGGCATTTCAAGAGCTCTTAACAGTGACGGAGTCTGACTCCGGGTGGCCTTAAGCACAGTCACAGAGGAAGGTTTTCAGGCGGGACTTGAAAAGGGGGAGAGGGGGCAAGGCGAAGGGATTGAGGGACGGTGTTCCAGAGCTTTGGGGTAGTGGCTGAAAGTGCGACCTCTGATGGTGGGATGGAAGGTGCGAGGAATGAGCAGGAGGCGCCGGGTGGTGGATTGGGGAGTGAGGAGGTCGGAGAGGGAGGGAGGTGTCAGAGAGTGAATGGATTTGAACACGAGAGTGAGGATCTTGAAGTCGATCTGTTTGGTGATGGGGAGCCAGTGGAGTCTGGGCCAGAACTGGTGAGATGTGGATACGGAGTTTGGTCCAGGTCAGTATGTGGGCGGCAGAGCTCTGAATGACCTGGATCTTGTGAATGGTTGAGCTGGGGAGACCGGCACAGAGTGCGTTTGAGTGCTCATCCAATCACAAGCAGCTCCAGACTATCAATAATAATAATAATAATAATCCTTGCATTTGATATAGCGCTTTTCACGTCAGGAGGACGTCCCAAAGCGCTTCACAGAACATACTGTAAAGTGAATTGACTGTATATTTGTGGGCGAACGCGGCAGCCAATTGCGCACAGCAATGTCCCACAAACAGTCGTAGATTGAAAATGACCAATTTAATTATTGTTTTTTGGTTTTTTGGAGGGATTATTCACTTCAGGCCGTCACTAATCAGTCCCCTTCCCGTCCAATGGGAACAGCAATTGCAGGGAGGCGGTGCCCCTCCTCTGCCGGGCGGGAAGGTATTTTGGAGCTAAACCAAATATATTTTACTGAATTCTCTTGAGGGTATTAAGTTTAACTCCAAGATGAAAATACTTGGTGTCCTGTTTGGTTAGTGAGCATTGCCTCAAGTGAATCAACATTATTATATATTAGTATACGGCACCGCGTGGCTCCTCGGCTGGGTGGGAATGGTATTTTGGCTAACCTCGGACGCCTCTTAAGACGGAAAAAACCTCCGTCCGTCCCCGATTTGTCTGGCTTAACAAGCTTCCACTGCATTATTTAATAACACTTCTCAATAAGGCTTTCAACCTGAGCTGAAAACAGCAACCCTGGAGCCGTTGATTGTGTTAATTTTAAAAAGCTGGCTGAATCTCTCGCTAGCAATGGGTTCAATGCGGTAAAGTACGGATAAAATACCTTTTATTGGTTGCAAAAAGATTTTCACACAGTGAGTTGTTCAGATCTGGAATGCATTGCCTGAAATGGTGATGGAAGCCGATTTGATAACAACTTTTAAGAGAGAATAATTATTTGGGGAGGGCAAGTTTGCAGGGCTATGGGGAGAGAGCGGGGGAGTGGGATTGATTTGGAAGCTCGTTTCAAAGAGCCGGCACAGACACATTGGGCTAAATAGCCGCCTTCTGTGCTGTATAATTCAATGATTCTATGAAACCACTCCATTGGTAAGTCGCTGGTTGAGAGGTAAGCCAGGAAGTCTTAAAATGTACCTCTCTGCAGCCACAAAGGAAAAAGGCTTAAGCAACAGAATGTGCTGGAGACAGGCACCCAGTGGATCCAATGCTTTTGAGAGCTGGGGATCGTGTGGTATCTACACGGTGTCCACCAAACACTCTTATCCCCCATGTTACCCAACAGCCATATGGGATCATGGAGGAGCTGAAACAAGCTGTCAGAGACACATCTTGCCTCCTTACTCCATCCATATTACGGAATATGTGGCACTGAATATGGAGACAGATCATTATCTGCTGTGAAAATGATGGCAATCACTCGCTCACACTGATTCTCTGGACATCTAAATACAGTTAAACGCTTGTGCTGAATGTAATGAAGTGCCTCTAAATACAATTATCATCATTCTTCCTCGTGTTTCAGATGTTGGTTAGTGCACTGTAAGGGTGGTGGGGGTGGGTGGGTAGGACTTTGGACACCTTGTAGAACTGGTACCCACAAGTCAAAGTGTTGTGGTAAAATGTTAGTCTTGAAACACAGCAGTCCTCTGGCTTGTATTTCAGTATCTGTACAGCTGACTCCAAGCTCACAGCTGCTCAAAGAAGCCTTAAGAGTTCCTGTGGAATTTGTGGTTAACTCAACAACTTTAATAGTGCTTTTCTGTTCCTATTTTTAGAAGTTTGGTATTATGCGTGTACTTTTCAAAATAATAATAAATCCAATTTTGGCCAAGGCTGCACCGAGCGAGCAATTAAAACACATTCTCTTTGTAAACAAAAGTCAGGAATCAATACACCATCCATTAAATTTATTGATGTGAGCTTTTACCTTTAGCGACGAGGGCAGCATGCAGAATGGGGACATGTACAGCAGGAGCTGACTTCACTGCACGCTCATGTACAGCAAATCTATCACACACAGAAAAGAATCCACACTGGCCTATTGAACTGGGTGGAGATGCAACAAGGAAAGCCAATAAATATCGTAATAACACAAAAAAGGATTACAATCTGGCACGGGGGAGAGAGAGAGAGAGAGAATCACCTATATGCACCTGAAGAATGCACTACTTAGCAGATAGCACTTTTCACTATAAACTTTATTACAGTCTTTTATTGTCGACAAATGCAGATGGCATCCCAGACTTTCTGCAGATCGAGAGCGGTGGGATTGCTATCTCGGGGGGAGAGATGAGGGTTTTGTGTACCTATACTGTGCTCTCGATTCGGGTTCAGGCCCCTACTTGACTGGCAATGGCAAGTGTCACAGCCTCGCTGCAACATATAACTAAATAGCAGCAGTGATCCTGGAGTACAATCCAAACCCTTGTTTTCCTTGAGGAAAAACAAAGCCAAAACAAAATTTCTATTGCATCAGGTGTAACGCTCCTCCAACACTGTGTCTTTAACTCTTGTTACAAATGACACAACTTGCCTCAAGCATAAGTGTCTTATATTTTTAAAAAAATGGAAGACAGACAAACACACAACAGTCTTACAAGTAATATTTAAAAAAAACAGGTGGTCAAGCTGTGTGTATTTTTTCTTAAAGTGCACTATAAATACTAAACTTTACAGGTACAATCCAAGATCCCAAATGGTATCTTCTATATATTTGTTATAATCTTGTAAAAGGAAACATCATATACAGGTAACAAGGTTGTTTGGCATTTACAGTAAGCTTAAAATGGAGCCACATGATCATTCAAAAAAAAGTTTCAATATTTTCCTTTCATTGCTGTACAGACGACAGGTATGGCTCAGTAGCAGCTACACACTTCAGGAGGAGGAAGGAGAGCCAAATGCTAACTATAAGCTATCACTACTGATAAAATACTGGCTGGCCGAGGGGGAGGGGTGTAAATTCACAACAAACAGAGGCACCTTCAATTGGAGGTCACTTATAGATGCAATAACTCGTGGAAAACACTGAAATGCAACGTACCATTCAGAGATTCCAGCCAGAACTACTGTCAGTCAGCAAGTGGAGGAGAGAGAAATTTGGTGATGGGTCTGACTTCAGGCACAACAAAAGAGAGAGAGAACTTGAGCAGTAAACTCTTAACAACAATATTTTGTTGGCCTCAAGAAAGCTGTACTATACGAAGGACCAAGTACTTGTATTTATTTATTTATTTTTAAAAATCTCATCCACATAAAACATTTACATTACTCGACTCAACTCGCCTCTCTTTGTGAATGTTGGGTTTGAAATAATTTAAACAATTAAAAGTTCAGCAGCTATGTCACTTAACTATTTCGTACACAACCACTTAAAACACAGAAAGGCATCCACTGACGATTTTGCTTCATATAATAAGAGCTAACATGCGTCCTTTTGAAAGGCTCGTGCCTCTTAAAAGTGGGTACCTTGTGTAAACCTGACGCTTCATCATGTCGGACTAGGCAGGCCAACAAATATAGGAGTCTGTCTCTTTAAGGCAATATTCAAAATAAAAAAAAATTAGATCTACAAAACGGTTGCATTGAAAAACAAAATCCAAAATAATAAAAAAAGCTACAGGAGTGTCTGCAAATTAAAAAGAACTCTCAGTCGTGTTCTCACAAGTACAATTACCGACAGTTGACATCTAAATAATATTCTACACCAAAAAAAAAATCAAGTCACAGATTGCGTCACTTGGCTGTGTTGTGTGAGGGAGCTAGGCTGATTCTTCCTGCTGAGGAGCTAAGTCTTCTGCTTGCTGTTGTTGGCCGATTCCGGTCTGTAGTCTTTCCTCTCCGAGATGTTACGTTTGATTTTAGTGTTCACGGGCACCGACTCCTGGTTGAGCGAGGGGCTGGAATGTGACTTCCTCATGCCGTTGCCATCGCTCTCTATCCCCTGGAGAGGATTCTCGCCAGATTCCTCCAGCATCTTGTAATAGGTCTCATACCGGGTTTTCTGTAAGGACAGGTCAGCGTGTTAAATACCATACAGAATTACAGTTGTATAGCGCCTTTCAAGTCGGGAGGACGTCCCAAGGTGGTGGACAGTCAGGGGTTAGGCCCCGAGCTGGGGGTTGGGATCGGGGAGGGTGGAGGGCAGGGAGAGAAGGAGGGTAGCCAAAGGCATGGTGGTGGAAGAGACTTGTTTTGAAGAAGGCAAGGGAGGGAACGAGGTGAAGGGACTGTGGGATGGAGTTCCAAAGGGTGGAGGTAGAGAGGCTGATGGCCTGACCGCCAATGGTGGGGTGGGGCCGGGCGGGGGACACAGAGCAGGCTAAGTGGAGGGAGCGGACAGGTTGATATGGGGTCGCAGAGATAGGAATGGAGGAAAGCCGTGGAGGGCTTTGAAGGCTAGAAGTACATGAACAACAATGAGTCTAACCTGGAATCTAAATAAGGACCATAAAATGTGGAATATGAATTACTCATTAAAAACAACTTAAACCCATTCTCCACTCCCACAATGCCTCATCCTGCCCGCCCGCCCGCAAGACATCAATCTCAAACCAATGCTGACACCTACCAGTCAATGGAATCAGGGCTTTGGATGTCAAAGAATCCGCAACACTATTTGAAAAAAGAAGTGAGTTTCTCCCAGGGTCAGTGCCAACAATCCCCCAGATAAATATATCATGACTGTTTAATGGACCATGCTGTGCACAAATTTAGTAGCACATTTGCATAAAATACACAGTCACGACACTTAGAATCATAGAATGACTTGACACCAATTCCCCCTGAAGTAGTTGAGATATTCAACATTATTGCAAGGATTATGCAAGTATCATTAAATCTTGTCTGAGAGCCCCATATTTTTCTGCACAACTTCATATAAATGGAGGTGTGTCAGTTATTAGAACATGTTCCATGCAGGTTGCTGAAACTGCAATCTTTATGAGGCAATGAGTCAAAGTTTCAGATATAAAACTGGATTATTCCCACATGTATAGCTCTTTTCTGCACAAGCTCCAGCCCATCCAGAAATCTGCAGCCTCTTACATCACGCCCCGCGAGCCCATCATCCCCAACCTCACTCGGCTCCCCTTGTGGCAATTCTTCAACGGATTGCTGGTCACTCAGTCACTCACTCACACACTGGTCATTTACTAATTCGCTGGCCAGTCTACATTGCACATCACGTTCTAGAATAAGACTGGACAGTATCTAGCCAGACTAAAGTCAATAGAAGAGGGTTCAAGGGGATGTGTTGAATTAAACAAATGATCATGATCCCATCTCAATAACGAAAGGTCACTGGGCTCTGTTGCCTGACAGGGTTCATATATTTTGATAATAATAATAAATAATAATAAGATTTGCTTTCACGTCAGGAGGATGTGCCAAAGTATATCATAAGATATATTGTACAGTGCAGTCACGGTGCATTTTGTGGGCAATCACGGCAGGCAATTTGCAATGTCCCACAAACATCCATGAAGTGAATGACCAATTTTATTAGGGGATCGTTGGCCAGGACATCAAGAGAAACTCTTTTCTCCTTTTGAGTAATGCCATGGGATCTTTAATGTCCACCTGAACAGTCAGACGGAACATTGGTTTAATGTCTCATATGAAGGATGGCACCGCCAATGATGCAGCACAGTCTTAGCCCTGCATTGCTTGGATGCTTAGACTATATGAGTTCCAAGTACCAACATGGGGCCTGAATTGACAATCTTCTGACTCAGAGGTGAGAGTGCTACCAACTGAGGCAAGCTGGCACACAGGAAAAGCAAGATTCTGCTGCCCATCAATATACTTATCAGCACAAGGAAATATAATAATAATAATCTTTGCATTTGATATAGCACTTTTCACGGCTTCTCGACGTCTCAAAGTGCTTCACAAAATAGACTGTCAAGTGAATTGACCGTATATTTGTGGGTGAAACGTGGCAGCCAATTGCGCACAGCAGTGTCCCACAAACAGTTGTGGATTGAAAATTACTAATTTATTATTGTTTTGTTTTGGAGGGATTATTATTAGGTGTGTGGAGTAAGGAAACTTGCCCAAAGTTTCGTCCTGCCTGGAATTGAACCCAGGTGTCTCGTTTGCAAGGCGAGTGCTCTAGGCACTGAGCTACAGCACCTGTTAACCCACACAACAAGTAAATGCATTTGATCACTGAGATGAACCATCTATGGAGTCCTGTAGCTCAGTGGTTAGAGCACTCGCTTTGCAAGTGAGAGACCTGAGTTCAATTCCAGGCAGAGGGCGAAACCTTGGGCAAGTTTCCTTACTCCACACAGAGCCTAATAATAATCCCTCCAAATCCCCAAACAATAATAAATTGGTCATTTTCAATCCACGACTGTTTGTGGGACATTGCTGTGCGCAATTGGCTGCCGCGATCCCACAAATATACGGTCAATTCACTTTACAGTATGTTCTGTGAAGCGCTTTGGGACGTCCTCCCGACGTGAAAAGCGCTATATCAAATGCAAGGATTATTATTATTATTATTCAACCTTACAGCACACTTACATACACTTGGTGGAAACAGTCATTGATTTCAATGATACTGCTCACCTCTCAATAGGGCACCCTGTGTGTTTGGCAACTCATTCATCAAGTCCATCAATACCTCAATTATCCTTGGACTAAATCCAGGACTTGTTAAATCAATGACAATAATTACTGACTCCGCTGATTATTCACCCCAGTGATAATTGACATGATCAGCTTCCAGGACCCTTGCAGTGGGAGGTCTCTTGACTAGATGTGCAAGAGTGGCTTCGGAAAAAGACAACAATGTAATTAATCAAGCTGTGATAATATGGCTGGAGGCGAAAAGCAAACAATGCTATCAATTTTTTTGTCAATATTCTCTCCTCCTGGTCCTCGGGAGGCTCAGACCTTGATGAGGTGCTTTTCCACGGTTCATGTTTTGTCTGCTGCCTTGCTCAAGTTGCCTAACAAGGAAAGGCTGAGGCGCTTAGTCGACAAATGCTAGAAGAAATTACCTTGAGCATGAGTTCCTGCTGGATGCTGTATATCCAGAATTTTGGGGCTGCACTGGTTGGCTTGCTGACTGCTAAACCACTACTGCTGACGCTTTGTATCTCCAAAGAGATGTGGCTGTAGAATGCTAGCCGAGCACTTGTAAATGCACGGTCAATCCACTTTACAGGGGAGTGACTGTATTTTGTGAGCGAATCGCGGCAGCCAGTTGAGGACAGCAACGTCCCACAAACAGCCATGGAGTGAATGACCAATTCTATTTGGCGGATTGTTGGGAGAATCTCCCTCTCTTTTTGAATGCATTTATTAACAACAACTTGTATTTACACAGAAGGGTATTGGCCCAGAGCGCTCGACAGTGGCAGAGCACGACACCGAGCCAGGGGGAGGGGGACGTGATGGTAGGCACGGTCGAATAGGAAGATCTTTAGGCAGATGGGTAAGGAAGGGGCAAGGTGGAGCGATAGAGGAAGAGTGTTCCAGACTTTCGGGGTGTAATGACTGAAATCGCGGCCAATGGTGGAACGGAGGGCACGAGGGACATGCAGAAGGCCGAAGCCAGTCGAGCAGAGACAGCGGTTTGTGGTTTTGGGGGTAAGCAGGTTGGAGAGGTAGGGAGGCAAAGCTAACTCACTCTCTGCAAAGGTGTTGCATGGTCTGCTCCTGTTCTTGCATTTTTATCCGATACTGAGCTAGTTACTATCCAAGACACTGTTGAGGATTGAACAGTCTGCCTGGCACATTAATGAATGGGACTTGGAGAAATAGATAGTTACAAAGAAATAGCATCCCTCCTTCCTTCCCTCCCTCCCTCCCTCCCTCCCGCTTTGTTCCTGATAACCCTACAAGCCGATGTCCTAATAGGTAAAATGGAACAATACCTTGTACATGCCATCCTGAACCCTTAAAATAACTTCTGCAGGCCAATCATTCCAGGCTCAACGAAAGGTCTCACCCAAACAATAACCCGATATATACTTTGAATTTTTAAAAGAAAATTATAGAATTATAATAATAATCCTTGCATTTGATATAGTGCCTTGTGGGGAAATCTAGTGCCATCCTGGCTGTCACACTTCAATCACAAAATACACAATCAACCCACTGTATTTTGTGGGCGAAATACAGCAGTCAGTTGCGCACAGTGATGTCCCACAAACAGCTATGGTGCGACCAATTTTATTTGGGGAATTATTGACCTGGACCTGGAATAAACTCCCTGCTCTTTTCGAACAGTGCCATGGGATCTTGAACATCCACCTGAATAGGCAGACGAACGTAGCTCAGTTTAACATCTCACCTAAAGGACATGTGACCAAAAATATTTAATAAAAGTAATAACCAAAGTTTGTGATGGTGGTGGTTGTAGTTGGGGGAAGGGTAAGGAGAAGAGCTCATATCTTTGGAATTTTATATTGTGCTTCAGGATAACTGGGGTTAACCCAGGACCATTGCAGATGGATTACAAGTGGGCTAGGTCAGGGGGAGGAGAGAGTAGAATCATGAAGACAGTGATGGAAAGCTGAGAAGTGTTAAAAAATAATAATTTGGTCACTCAATCCATGACTGTTTGTGGGACACTGCTGTGCGCAATTGGCTGCTGCGTTTCGCCCACAAAATATACAGTCAATTCACTTTACAGTATATTCTGTGAAGCGCTTTGAGACGTCTCAAAGACATGATAAGGCGCTATATCAAATGCAAGGGATTATTATTATTATTAAGTGATCCATTCAATATAGTTGTTTTTAAAATGAGCTGAGTAATTACTTTCGCTGAGTTATTTTGGTCATTAGAAATTACTATTTCAAATCCAAACACTGGGATCAATCCTAGCACAGATTGTAATTAGTACCAGGCCCAAGGCACAGAGCATTGTTGGGAGAGCTTCAAGAATAGTAGAACCAGAGAACACAGCCTGTGATTGAAGGGGGGTAAATTCAGAACAAATCTACGCAAACACTATTTCAGTGAGCAAATAGTGAACCTGTGGAACAGGCTCCCTAGGGAGACAGTTGAAGCAGGAAGTGCTGATTCTTTCAAACACAAATTAGATAGTTTTCTTTTAATAATTAATATTATCATAGAATCACAGAATTTACATGACAGAAGGAGGCCATTCAGCCCATTGTGTCTGTGTTGGCTCTTTGAAAAGAGATACCCAAATCAATCCCACTCGCCCACTCTCTCCCATAGCCCTACAAACGTCAAACTTGTCCTCCCCAAATAACTATCTAATGGGATATAATACATAGGTAGTTCGGGACATATGTGTATGCGACTGCCAGTAAGGTGGAAGGTGAACTAGATGGAGCTTGTTCTTTTTTCGTCCAGCATTTCGCATATATTCTTATGTTCAAGGCACCGTTCCAGTGAAATCTCTCATCGTCTCGCATGGTTTGCATAACTATGAGAGCTAAGTGAGAACATTAGGCACTGGGGTCTTGCTAGAATCAGATTCAATCGAATTGCTAATATCATATCAACCCCATTGGGGGGTTTGGGTCATTTGGAGATGTGAAATGTGTGGAAAACCATCACCACGTTATAGAGTATTCAAATCAACCTATTGCAGCGAAAAATTTGCAGGGGTATTTGGAAAGAGTGGGGGAGTGGGACTGATTAGGCAGCTCTTCCAAAGAGCCAGAACAGATACGCTGTGCTGTAGCATTCTATGATTCTATGAACTACATTCCATTCCAGACTCTTATTAAGATGAGTCACCCGCTGCGTACCAGTGCCTGACTGACTGACTGACTGACTGAGGGCTGCACTCTATTCACACTACATCCAAATCCACAAGTGAGTGAGGTCTGTAACTCCATCCACACGATATGTGAACCCACCTGTGAGTGAGGACGGTACTCCATTCATTCTACATCCGAACCCACCTTCTAATAAGGCGTGTTATAATTGCCTCACTCCGCATATTATACAACAGCAGCAGCCACAGTTTGCAATGCAAATCAGTCGAATACATATTGAGCAAGAAAGAAAACTACTGTGAAGCTTTGAAGCTGTGAAAACCTCTAAAGCTTTGAAGCCTTGAAAAATGTCTAAAGCTAGACGTTTAGAAAATCTATATGAAAGCAAAGGAAAAACCATGACTTTTTTGCAGCGGATAAAAGGGTGAAAGAAACAAAATTAAAGAAACACATCTATTGTGCACAGATCCCAATGTGAGAAGTGTTGCTGTTTTATAGTGAGTCACTATTCCTTTCTGTAAAATTTATAACTTCTCTCTCTCTGTGCATATCTATATTAAAGGTCTTTGCCAACTCTCACCTAATCAGTATAAATCGATGAGACATAGTCCCTTCCTGGAGACTCCAGGCACCTTCACAAAGTCACACTCTGAACCCCATGGACACGAGTGGCAATTTTTTTCTCCCAAAGGGTAATTAACAACTGGAACTGGTTGAATTCAATTAATAAACAGCTTGATGCTCTGATGGGAAGCAGTAGGATGGTGTTCTCTCAACATCAAAGGTGGTATCCAAATGTAATTTTGTATTGTAATAATAATCTTTGCATTTGATATATTGCTTTTCACATCTTTTAGACGTCTCAAAGCGCTTCAGAGAATATACTGTCAAGTGAATTGACTGTATATTTGTGGGCGAAACGCGGCAGCCAATTGCACACAGCAGTGTCCCACAAACAGCTGTGGATTGAAGTGATCAATTTTTTTTCTTTAGAGATTATTATCAGTCGTATGGAGTAAGGAAACTTGCCCAAGGTTTTGTCCTGCTGGGAATTGAACCCAGGTCTCTCGCTTGCAAGGCGAGCACTCTAACCACTGAGCTACAGGACTAAATCGTATTGCACTGTTCTGGAAGGATGAGATAAGATGGGCCAATCGGCATTGATCACCTGAACCAATTTTGTGATCTAATGATTTCATCCAGTAGGCGAAAAAGCTGCTGATCCCAGCTGATCAAGTGCATTCGAATAATGAGGAGCATTTCCTGTTTAGGCAAGGAAATAAATGCCTTTATTGGGGGGTGAGCAAGAGATATTTATGTCAATTGTACCTCACCGGGGGCCACATTTCCTCCTTGGTCTGGCGATCCACTCACCTGACCTGTTCGAGTGGTCGTGAAGACAGGTTTCGAGTCCGCATTGTCCTTTGACAATGTGAAGCCTAGAAGAGTTGGGGGGGTTGGGGGATGGTCGGGGCTTGTCTACAGAACAATGTGGAACGCATTCAGTCCAATTCGGCTAATGGGGGTGAGCAGGTCTATCCTTGATCATATAAAAAAGCTAAATAAAGACTATAGCCTTGCACGATTATCCTCGCCAGATCTTGTACTGTGTCAACAACAATGGCAAAATTTTTTCGTGCAACAGTGGTTACCATGGCAAGGATGAGGTGTGATTGTGTGATTGAGTGCGAGTTGCCAGCCATACTTTACAAAGCGTGTACAAGGTTGCTCCCTGCTAGAGGAGTGCCTGCACCCCACTCCCTCCTGCGCAATAGTTAAGATGCATTGCAGAGGATTTCTGATGACAGCACAATAACATGGCAGCAACAGAAGTTGTAATTACAGCCTACACTCACACACTGTTATGCAACCAATTTCATTCCTCATCCCAGCCCACTGCCTCGGCTCTTTCTTGCCGTGGAAAGCTCTTAAAAGAGCCAGCTGCAGAGAACCCACCCCTAATTACCTCAAACTCCAGATAGTGCTCCTTCAGTCTGTACTCATCAATCTCCTTGGCTTTGACCTTCTTGTCGGGCGGGTAGGAACGATGCTCAGTCAGTTCAGTGGAAATCTGTTTCAGCTTGGCCTCATGTGATTTCAACTGGTCTTCCTGTAGTAAATAGTAAGTGGGTTAAAATAAATACTTTGTTTTAAAAATATAGTCAGCCATTTACAATGGCATAAGGTGACAGCATCAGACCGTACCTGCCAAGGTAACAATAATAATAATAATACTCTTTGCATTTGATATAGCGCCTAATCACTTTGTTGAGATGTCTCAAAGCATTTCACAGGATATAATGTACAGTAAATCAACTGCACATTTTGTGGAACTTTAGCTAAGTTCTTTAAATTCACCCCTATTTTCAACCGATTACTCTTATAGTTAGCTGTGCTTGCAAGTATATATGTACATGTGTGATTTTATCCAGACATGAACACAGTAACATACACAGATATGTGTGCATTTCTTTACAGACACATACACAGCAATATGTGTGTGGATCTGCATATGTGCGTTTATACACAAATATATATATACACACTAATATTTATATAAATATATGATATATGTGTGCGCACATTAAATGATGGACTCTTTATTAATTAAACTCTTTACAGGGAATAAAACGTCCAACTTTCTATGTCCTGTGAAGTGCTTTGGGGCATCCTCCCGATGTGAAAGGCTCTATATCAAATGTAAGGATTATAATTATTACTGGCTGGGGCTATGGTTCCGTTTTTTAAGTGGGGTGAAGGAAGGAGGGTAACGGAAATAAAGGAAGGAGGTAAGATAAGATAGATAAGACAAATATTGAGGAGCACAAGCTTATACCCACACAGAATAAACTAAAGAAAAATGGCATTACATTCGATAAAGCATCAGCATCCAGTTGAACAAAATTTACAAGAACTTCTAGCTAACTTATGGAGAAAATCTCCACTCTTATCAATTAGCTGGTCAATTAGAATCATAGAATCATATAGCACAGAAGAGGCCAATCAGCTGTTTGATAGAGTTATCCAATTAGTCCCACAATTTTTTCCTTTTCAAGTAAATATCCAATTCCTTTTTGAAAATTATTATTGAATCTGCTTCCACCACCCTTTAAGGCAGTGCATTCCAGACCGTAACAACTTGCTGCGTAATTTTTTTTTCTCCTTATCTCCCCTCTGGTTCTTTTGCCAATTATCTTAATTGTCTGCCTTACGAACTTACAAAAGCCCCAAGAAACGTGCCTGACCTCTGAACCCAATAGCTTTGACTCCCAATAGTCAGCCAGTAGCAAACATGAGCGAGTTTCATCAAAATGTACGTGAATGATTCCCCAAAAGAGAGCAGTGGATTGCTCCGCAACTTGGAGGGGATTTTATTCTGCTTTCAAACATGATTTCCATTTGCTCCTTGTGAATCCTACGTCAATTATACACCAACAGAACGGAGCTCATCAGCTTACGTCATTGTAGGCACTGAACATGGATAATGTTCCACGCTCCTGTGAGACAGGCCTTACAGACCAAAGCTGCATGCTCTAGTAACTTTGAAATACCCCATTTACCTTTGTTATTGGGTCTGCAATAACAACAATAATAATCTTTGATTTGATATAGCGCTTTATCACATCTTCGAGACATCTCAAAGCGCTTCACAGAATACACTGTAAAGTGAATTGACTATATATTTGTGGGCGAAACGCAGCAGTCAATTGCACACAGCAATGTCCCACAAACATTCATGGATTGAGTGACCAATTTATTATTTTTTTTACACACACACAAAGCAGCGACCCTCAGCAACAGGATTTTTTTTCAAATTAAAAAATCTATGAGGATAACTGTCGCACCTTATTTTTCTTGTAACGCCCATTGACCTTTACATATTTCGAAAGTAAAACGCGTACGACATTATAGGAAACATTCGCTCCTTGTCAAATCTCAATCCGATTATGTGTACAACTGATCTGAATTAACATTACTAGAGCTGGTCATTCACAATAACCAGCCTAAACCTGCTGTATAAATGCAAGAACAGTGCATAGGAGCCATTATGAGTCAGAAGGTTGTGGGTTTCAATCCCAAATTGGGATTTGAAACCTGTTTTAATCTAAGATTGCACTCCAATGCAGTGCTGGGGATGTGCTGCATTGTCAGAGGAGCTGTCCTTTGCATGAGACGCAAATTGGTTGTCACAATCGTCCACAAAATACACAGCGTAACACCACGTTACCTTGTGCAATATATCTTGTGCAGTGCTTTGAGTCACATTGTTGACTTGATGAGCTAATATATCTTTAATATATGCTTTAGTTTCCCCCACAAAATTACAGTCAATTCACTTTACAATATATTCTGTGAAGCGCTTTGAGACGTCTCAACGACGTGATAAGTTGACGATGTGATAAGGTGCTATATCAAAGGCTTATTATTTATTATATATCAAATGCGAGAATTATTATTATTAACCTGTCAGTGATTTGTGTCTATTTCTAATGTGCATTTTACTATTGGGTAATTGCATAACATCCTAGACATTTCAGCACAGGGGGTCATTTGTCCCTTTGTGTCTGCTGTGCCCCATTAAAGCCATTATCTCCAGGCCCATTTTCTTTCTCTTTTCCCTCATTTCTTTCACATCTATTCGTGTCAAGTTATATTTAATTTCCTTTAAACCAAATCAGTGCCTTGGTTTCCATAGAGATGTGTGGCATGACATTCCACATCCTAATAACTCAGCCCTTTGTATAAAACGTATTGTAGCCTCATTTTAGCAAAGATCCTGAGTATATTCCCCCTTGTTGCGAATTCACCAAACAATAAAAATAATTTTTCACCTCATATCCTTCCAAATCCTACTATCATTTGAGCATTTCTAGCTGATCCCCTCTTAATCTTTCCTGCTCACTTGAAGATAACCTCAGATTTTAAAACCTGCAACTCGCTTTATCCTCTCATATAATCAGGGAATCTACACTGCACTCTCTATGGATCTGACTTCTTATCTATAACATGGGGAAGAGGAAAAAACTACACTCAATATCCCAACTGCAGCCTCACCTATCTATGTATAGATTCAACATAATCTCTTTACTTTACTACGCTTTACCTCTATATGAAGTACAATATCCGATTTACCCTTTTTTTAAAAAAAAATTCCTACACCTGCAAACCCGCTTTTAAAAATTTGTGCAGGGATAATAATCCCTTCGAAAATCATAATAATAACTTGGTCGTTCAATCCACGATTGTTTGTGGGACACTACTGTGCACAATTGGCTGCTGCATTTCGTCCCAAAAATATACAGTCAATTCACTTTACAGTATATTCTGTGAAGCGCTTTGAGGCGTGTTGAATATGTGATAAGGCGCTTTATCAAATACAAGGATTATTATTATTATTATTTTCAAAAGGTTTGAAAAGGTTAAAAATAAATCACAAGATTGGTTTGGTCCTTCTGATCACCCACAACTCCTCCCCACCACCATAACATCAAGCTGCTTTTTAAATGAGTCCAGTATCCTGACCTCAATCATCCTTCCTGGCAATCTGTTCCAATCGTTGAATATCTTCCGAGTAAAGAAATAACTTATTTCGATGGACATGATCGCTTCAGTTGATTTGTTTTTTGCATCGAAAAGAGGAATTGAGCCAGGCTACAAGTGTAATGTCAGCAGCCATCACATCTTTACAACAACAATTTACATTCACACAGCGCCTTTCACATCAGGATGATGTCCCAAGACGCTGGACAGTCAGGGATTTTGACCCGCGCGGGGGGTTTACCTGGGTCATCTTGGTGGTGGTCGCTGGTAATAGTGGACGGCTGAACCTCTTCTGGGAGCCAATTGCGGCTGGAAACGGTGGGGCCGAAAACACAGTGGCGACCAAATTAATTTTATTTATCCAGGACTCCATTTCTTCAGGGTTTCTGCAAAGAATTCAAGTGGAAAGAATTAGGGTAAAAACAAACAACAACGATACAATAATTCTGTGCTGAGCTGCTGTGTGAACACAGGATGCTGGACAATTCCCGGACAACCTGCCTGTCTACTGCCAATTAAGAAGGTATTTATAAGAAGTCAAATAAGAAGTTATAAACTGTTGCTCCAACAGTGGCCCTCATGTTTTTGTCTTCTCCAAGCTTCTCCCTTTCGCTCACAAAATACAAATAGTCAATTCACTTTACAGTATATTCCGTGAAGCGCTTTGAGACGTTATAAGGCGCTATATCAATTGCAAAGATTACTATTATTAAATAATTTTGCTTTATCATTTCCTTGTAAATATATAAGGGGGCAATAGGCAGCTACAGACACAATTATCATGATTGAGTGGGCGGATAAACCTACCAAATATATTATATATAAATTTGTAACATATTTATAGGTGATACGTGTCATATATGGTGTGTTGATTATTATATCCTGTGAAGCACTTTGAAGCAGATTTCCTCCTGACATGAAAGGTGCTATATAAAATGTAAGGATTATTATTAGTAGTAGTATAATAGTACTATTAATGGATTCCAGTGATTGGGAAGAGGAAAAAATGAAAGTTCTGAAACTGGACTATTATCCATGTTGGAGATTGGGTAAGAAGCTTACCTGTGATCCACTCCCCCACACTCCCCCCATCCCCGTTCCACACTGCACCCCAAAGCCTGTGTTCTCTTGCTCGGGAATGCTTACTGGAACAATGCTAACTCCCATGAAACTGCACCCCAGCAAGAGAGGTTACCTTCCAGGGATATTAATCCCTCCAAACAAATATTATTAATTTGGTCACTCAATGTTTGTTGGACATTTCTGTGCACAATTGGCTGCCACATTTTGCCCACAAAGTACAGTCACTCCACTTTACACTATGTTCTGTGAGGCGCTTTGAGACATCTCAAAGAGGTGATAAGGCGCTATATCAAATGCAGGGATTATTATTTATATTATTACCTTCAGAAGAGGGTGGAATTGCAGGCAGTTCAGCAAGCAGATAATGCAGAAACATTTCATTGGTTTCTAACAAGTATGAGGCTTTCTTTGCCTCTAACACACGCACGTACATACACACACACACACATATATATATATATACATACACACACACATATACATACACACACACACAAACAATAAAGTTCTGCTTAACAGAACCAAGGTGCAAGCGGTTATGAATCCAACCCCCACTCCTCCCACTGCCTTCCCTTTATATTTCACAAAAAGTACGCACTGTGCTTGGAAAAGAAACACTCTCCAGTCTGCTGTTTTCAACTTCAGAACATTGGGTCTCTTCTCATAATCCGTGGCTTTTATGGCCAGAGCGTGGTGAATACTGATAGCATTTTTTAAATCCTCTTCTGACAGGTGTTTTTCCGGCTTGTATTCATCCTTGGGGAAACATAGAAAACATCGAGTGTTACTTTGTCTCTGCAATGTTTAAAACATAGCAAAATGAGGGAACAGTAATCATTGCAAGAGCAAGAGATTACTACAGGCTTTTCTCCCCATGTATCCCTCAAATAAAATTGGCCAATCACTTCACTTGTTTGTGGGACATTAATGTGTGCACACTGGCTGCCGTGCACAGCTACAAAATACACAGCTGTTACTTTACAGTAATTCCCGTGAAGCACTTGGAGACGTCCTATCGATATGAAAGTCAATTGCAAGGATTATTATTATCATAATCATCAGCATTATCCTCCCATTACAGTATTAAGTCAGTTCCTAAATGAATCCAGTGACCACATGAAAGGTGCTGTATCAAATGCAAGGATTATTATTGTACAAGATAATAATAATAATGCTTGCATTTGATATTGAGCCTTATTACATCTTCGAGACGTCTCAAAGCGTTTCACAGAATATACTGTAAAGTGAATTGACTGTATATTCTGTGGGTGAAACGCGGCAGCCAATTGCACACAGCAACGTCCCACAAACAGTCGTGGGTTGAAGGAATTATTTTTGGGAGACGTTCCAATGTGACATGAAGCAGTCCTGGTCCAGTGAATCATGAAGTAGCTACAATAATTATTATTATTTATTGATCTCATCCTTCCAGAATACCAACAACTGGAGTCTTTCCGTTCAAGCAGGTCCTAAAATAAGTCCAGTGCCGTGGTTTCCACTACCCATCCTGGATGTTGATTTTCCTCTATATAAAAAAACATTGCCTGGTGTCTTTACAATCCAAAACCTGTGGTCTCTTGTTTTGCTCCTCGGAGTATTGGTCTGGTCTTAAAAAGTAAGAAAGTTCTTCCATTTTTAGAAGGCCTTTCCACATTGAAATATATCAAAGCTCCTCACAGACATTCCCCAACCCTATCAATGAGCTGATTTCATTTCAGTCAGGATCATGGTGGTCCTTGGGCACTGAAGACTATAATAAATATGCCAAGGCCCCCGCTGTGTTTTCCCGCTATAAATTCTGAGTTTGAGGTGGATATGGTACCATTGAAGTGGAGTCCTGTAACTCAGTGGTTAGAGCACTCTCCTCGCAAACGAAAGACCTGGGTTTAATTCCTGGGTGGGGTGAAATGCTGGGCAGGTTTCCTTACTCCACACGCTTCTGCTTACCTACCATTACATAGGAACCTGGTTATCAGGCGATTGGCGGAATCGCTTTTCTGGGGGTAATAATCTCTTCCAAAAAAAATAACAAGTTAATTAATCCTTGCATTTGATATAGCGCTTTTCACGTCGGGAGGACATCCCAAAGCGCTTCACAGAACACACTGTAAAGTGAATTGACTGTATATTTGTGGGCGAACGCGGCAGCCAATTGTGCACAGCAATGTCCCACAAACAGTCGTAGATTGAAAATGACCAATTTATTATTGTTTTTTTTTTTTTTTTATTATTAGGCTCTGTGTGGAGTAAGGAAACTTGCCCAAGGTTTCGCTCTGCCTGAATTGAACTCAGGTCTCTCACTTGCAAAGCGAGTGCTCTAACCACTGAGCTACAGGACTCCACAAGTTGGTCACTCAATCCACGACTGCTGTGTGCAATTGTCCACTGTGTTTTGCCCACAAAATATACAGTCAATTCACTTTACAGTATATTCTGTGGAGACCTTTGAGATGTCTCAAAGACGTGATAAAGCTATATCAAATGCAAGGATTATTATTATTATTCTTATCTCCTCTTCTGAAGAAATGGCTCATGCTGAAGCTGGTTGAGAGCCACTTCATTTCATTCAGAATAGGAGGAGAGACGATAGGAGAGAAAAGAATAAATAAATGTTCTGCCAATCTGCAATCAGATGGTGGAGTCCTGTAGCTCAGTGGTTAGAGACACTCGTTTTGCAAGCGAGAAACCTGAGTTCAATTCCAGGCAGAGGGCGAAACCTTGGGCAAGTTTCCTTACTCCACACAGAGCCTAATAATAATCCCTCCAAAAAAACCAAAACAATAATAAATTGGTCATTTTCAATCTACGACTGTTTGTGGGACATTGCTGTGCGCAATTGGCTGCCGCGTTCGCCCACAAATATACAGTCAATTCACTTTACAGTGTGTTCTGTGAAGCGCTTTGGGACGTCCTCCCGATGTGAAAAGCGCTATATCAAATGCAAGGATTATTATTATTATTAATCACCAAGTGGATGGACTTGAATTTGAGTCTTTCCATGTCAGTCACTTTCAACTCACGAAAACTGGTTTCAAGGGCTTCACAAAAAGATTCCTCCCTTTCCCTCTCTTGCTGATGTCCATTTTCCCGTCTATTAATATTGGTTTCAAGGATTCCAGGCACCCTCTTGCACTGACCTCCATTGTCAGGGTGCGAGCTTTGCTTTTTGCGGGGTCAGCTAGGTGTCTGACACATGCTGAAACCCATCACCAAGCTTAAGAGTATCTAAACCAGATGTAATGCCATATATGCCACCTACACATGGGAATTTTCATGCGGCTGGGGTTGGAATATGCACTCTCTCCCTAAAAGGACACACCCTGAGTATCTAATTCCAGGAGTATTAGGCACAGATTGGCAAGAGTCAAAGCTTTGGGACCCCAAGGTGCATGTTGAGGTACTGCTGGAATTTAATCAGCTCACGCCGCATGGCTTGCCATTGTCTGGCAAGCTTTCCCACTCTTTGTGCAGCTGCGACCACCCTACCAGTTAGGGTTTTGGCTTGCAAGGTTGACAATGAAGGTCAGACAGCCTATTTGATTATAGATTGTGGGCATCAAAGCCGAGCCTGATCATCCAATAATAATTTGATATAGCACCTTATCACGTCTTCGAGATTTCTCAAAGCGCTTCACAGAATATACTGTGAAGTGAATTGACTGTATATTTTGTGGGCAAAACACGGCAGCCAATTGCGCACAGCAGTGTCCCACAAACTGCATTGAGTGACCTTATTATTAGGATTATGCACACGATGCCAGCATCTGTGGTTCGATAAGGACCAGGAACCCAATCGAATTTTCCCCTCTCCGACCAACATTGGCACCCAATTGCTGCGTGGGCAGACATCTGCTAATTCAGCAAGGCACCAGGGATTGATTCTGGCACCTACGTTGCCCAGATAAATCAACCACTGACTGAATAAACTTACTGATGCATCAGGGGAGCTCTTAGTATTAAGGGAATAAGTAAGGGGTTTAATGAAAGAATCAACGCCAGCCTTGCTCTGAATGCTCAGTCACAAACATCTTGTTTCCCTCAGCCTCTGCTTAGAGCTTCTGCGACCATGGTGGTGTCACCATCATTTAATTGTGACACCACATCCCATTTAGTGAGCTCTCCAGGCAAATTCTGAGAAGAAACTTCAATCCTTTAATGTCCAAAAATGTCAACAACAAAAAAAAATCCTACCCACGGGGCCAGTCTATGAAACCTTTAACAGCTGCTGTCACCAAAACGATGCAGGATTTTATTTAAACTAGACAAGAAATCAATTGTATGCCTGTAAACTTCCTACTAATAAATTATGCCCAGCAGTACTCCCACATTAGCCAGCCAGGAACATTAGGTTCAGTCTTTTATCCGCACATCGTCCAGCATTCTTTGACTATGTGGCCATTAGAAAATTAAATATAAAAGTTCAGCTTCAAAACCATTTGATGTCTGTTATCTGTTTACATTAGAGAAACATCTTTTGCAGTTTACAACATTTAAAAGGGTAAATTCGATGAATAATCCTTTCATTTGATACAGCTCCTTTCATGTCGGGAGGAACTCGCAAAGCTCTCCTCCCCAGGATGTACTGTAAAGTGATGTGGATGTGTATTGTGCAAGCAGACTCACCAGTCAATTTGTGCACAGCCAATGTCCCACATACAAGCATGAAGTGAATGGCCAATTTTATCTAGCCAACACATGGGAAAAAACTCACTTCCCTTTTCGAATTGTGTCATTGGATTTGTAACATCTTTGCTATGGATCATAGCAACAACAACAAATTATATTTGTACAGCAGCCTTCACGTCAGAAGGACGTCCCAGGACGCTGGGCAATCAGGGGCTTGGGACCTGAGCTGGAGGTTGAGGTCAGGAGGGGTGGAGAGCAGGGTGGGTGGGAGGGTGGGCGAAGGCACGGTCGAAGAGGAAGGTCTTTAGACTGGACTTGAAGGAGGCAAAAGAGGGTAGGGATTGGATTGCGGGATGGAGTTCCAGAATGTTGGGGCAGAAATGCTAAATGCCCGACCACCAATGGTAGTATGACAGCAGAAAGACAGTTTGTAGGATACTGGTTTATGTCAAAAACAACAACATAGCTAATCAGAAGTCCTCCAAACCTAGAATTCAAAGCTAGTGCTCTGGTCACTATAGGTAGCTTTGGGCTCAATTCCTTGTGATGCAGGGGTGGGGGGAGTGGGGGAAGAAAACCAGGCAACTATCGAGTTGTCAAGTGACCTTTGACAACTGCAATTATCAACAATATGATTATAATTATAAGACATAAATAACAAAATAAAAATAGGAATCTAAGGGTCACTAAAAGGATGGACAAGCTAAGCTCACAGTCAGTGACAGCGAAATGGTAGAAATATTGAATAATGACTTTGCCTCAGTATTTACCAGGGAGATGGATTAGATGGACATGACGGTAGAAGAAGAGATCGAAAATGATATGAATACAATTAAGATAAAAAGGTGGGGGAGATAATTGATAAACTAACCAAATTCAGAGAGGATAAAACCCATGGTCTGGATGGATTGCATCCATGTATATTAAAAGAATCTAGGGAAGAGATAGTAGAGGCACTATTACACATAGATAATAACTCATTAGAGAAGGGAGTAGTGCCAGAGGACTGGAGGTTAGCTAATGTTATACCTATATTTAAAAAGGAGATAGAACAAGCCCAGGGAACTATAGACCTATCAGCTTAACATCGGTGTTAGGAAAGATAATGGAATCCTTACTGTAGGACGTAA